TGTTCTCCACAAAGCAGCCAGAGTGACCCTTTTTAAACATTTCTGTCAGATTTCCCTCTTTAAAATCCTTCAACGGTTTAAAAATAAAATTCACTTATAATTCAGAGTTGGCCCTGTCCACCTTTCCATCCTCACTGCCCACTGGCCACACTTGCCTTCTTTCTATGCCCAACACACTCCCACCTCCAGACTTCTGCACTGTGGTTCCTTTTCCCTGGAATACCCTTCCTCCAGGTCCCAGATACCCACACCCTTGCTCCCTAATATCACTCAAATGTAACATGTCACCACTGCAGAGAAGCCTTCCCTGACCTCCTACTCTAACCCAAGCCACCCCCCCACCCCCCACCCCTGCTCATCACTCTCTAACCCCTGGCCTACCTGGTTTCCCTTCAGATACAGCACATACTTTCTTAACCACCTTTCTCCACCACTAGAATGTGACAACCCTGCAGACAGGTTTAATCTGTATCTCCAGGACTAGACCAGGGCCAGAACATTGTAGATCCTCAAAGAGACAAATGAATCTGATGCCAAAGGCCTGGCTCCTCTTGCTGCCCCTGGGATAACCTAGCAAAGAGACTAATCACTGCATTTAACACACTCCATACTGAAATATGCGACCCCTCTGCACCATGCCAGTGCCGCTTCTGTAATGATCAACTTGGCTTGTACTTATTCGTGAATGGTGGCGATTCCCTACCAGACTGGCCATGCTGTGACAGGCAGGGCTCTGAGCTGTAGCTCATGACACCTAGCACAGTCTTGAACAACATATGTAAATCTTTTGTTTGAATCCTCACTCAAGGACATTTTTTCATCGATTTCAGAGAGAGAAGAAGGGGGACAAAGAGAGAAACATAGATGTGAGAGAGAAATATCGATTGGTTGCCTTCTGTACATGCCCCAACTGGGGATCGAACCCGCAACCTTTCAATTCTTGGGACGATGCTCCAGCCAGCTGAGCCACACCAGCCAGGGCCATAAGTCTTTTGTTGACTGGACAAGGAAGATAAAGTTCAAAACCAATGGCAGGAGTTTAACTTCTCTGTTCCCAAACACAACAAAGGGACCACCTTTCAGACCACTGCCCTGAAAAGTCCCTCGGCCCCACTCCTAGGGAACCAGGATCTTGAAGTCAAGTTCAAGTGCTCACCGGAATTCCTTGAGTAGTGAGCTGTGGAATTTGCCAGCTGAGCCCAGAAAACCTGTGTCAGGCAAACTTAAAGCTGTACTTAGTGAAATTGCTTTCTGTTATCTCAAAGGAAATAATAACGTGTGAGGCTGGCTCAGGGAGAAAATGCTCAACAGAGGCATGCATCACTCCCACAATGGGAAAAAATTTTTTTAAAAAGGCTTCAAGTGCTCTCCTATCTATCTGCAGGATGTGCCATGGAGTTGCGATCCTTCCCAGCCCAGTTCTCATTCTCCATCCCCATTGACAGCAAGTTCCCATGTGCTCATTCACTCACGTTGTTCCCTTTGTCGACATGCTCTTCCCTCCTTCCCAAGTGGGTGAAACCCTACCCGTCCTTACAGAGCATGACTGAAATGCCTTACAAGGCCCTTCGCCACTTCTCCTGGCACATCACTCCTTCCTCTGACAGAAAACATTCTGTGATGAGCTGTAGGTGTCAGCACCTATCCAACTTCCAACTCCTGTAAGTGTCAACTCAGGACAATAGGACATGCCCTCAGGGAACTTTGGGCCCAGTTGGGGAGAGCAAAGAAATACACAATTTTAAGCTGGGAAAAGGGGTAAGAGACTCCATACAGCCAGGTGGAAATGGGGGAACATCAGAATGGATGGTTGGGAAAGGCTTCTTGGAAGAGGTGACATTTAACTGGTACGTGAAGGATGAGTAGGAGTTAGCAGAGTGGGGACAAGATGCCAGAAAGAGGACATAACACATGTAAAGACACCAAGGCACGAAAGCTGTTGGCACAACCCAAAAGAGGTCTGTGTAGCCCCAGCCTCGGAGGGTGTGGAGAGTGGTGTGAGGAGAGGCAGGCCTTCCGGTAGGTGCGAATTGCCCTCAATCTACCATCAACGGATGTTTCTGGCTCCTCTGTCCTCAGAAGGGCTGGGATACATTTTACTCCTCTCCATCTCCAGAGTAGAGCAAGACACCTGGTGCACAACAGGCATTACACAGATTCCTATGAGCTACACTGTCCCCTGAGATGCAGGTGAGTGATCTTTCGCTCTGCCCATTTCTCCCACCCCAAAAGCAAGTCCCCAGTTGGCTTGCCTAACTGAAGCACCCGGGGACGGTTAACCACAAGACTGGTGATCGAAACAGAGGATGAAAGAGGAGCAGCTGCGAGAGCTACAGTTAGGTCCTTGACAAATGCCACTGGCAGATGTGACCACAGCGTAGTCCTTGGAGACCATTCTAGGGGTAACTGCAATCAGATGGCAACTCCAGTATTAGAGAACCTACCAAAATCACATTCCCCCACACTAAACTATCTGTGTGGAGTGCAAAATACAGTTTCCATGGTCAGCTGTTTTTATTCACACTTCCAACAACAAAATGTATGGGTTTTCCTTTCCACCCAACAACCAATTCTCGGATTCTCCAGACACCAGCTGGGTGCCCTACAATCTGACGCTACCTGGAGTTATAGCACAGACCCATCGGTTAAAGGCTCTCCCACAAGACTTCAGATGCCAGTCGAAGTCCCAGGTTGCCACTTCTACTTCTGGTCAACTATAAATTGGGGTTCCCTCAACCCTGTCCTCGGGTTTGATCATTGCTAGAACAGCTCACAGAACTCAGGAAAGGGCTTTAGTTACTATCACTGATTTATCTTAAAGGATGCAACTCCCAGGAACAGACAGATGGAAGAAGTGCACGGTAGAGGGTGGGAGTGGGGAGAAGCAGGACGCCTCCCTGTCCTCTTGGGGCCTGTCATCCTCCCAGCACCTCAATGTGCTGACCAGCCTGGGAGCTCTCCAAACTGCCATTGTTTAGGGGCTTTTATGGAGGTTCCATTACAAAGTCGCGATTAAATCATTGGCTATTGGTGATGAACTCAATCTCCAGTTCCTCTCCTTTCCCCTCTCTAGAGGTCAGGGGGTGGGACCGAGAGTTCCAAACCTCTAATCACATGATCATCTCCTCTGACAACCAGCCCCCATCCTGAAGTTATCTAGGGCCCCCCTAGTAGAGTCACTTTATTAGCATTAACTCCCATGTGGCTGAAAGGGCCTTGTTAGAAACACCAAAAAATGCCCCTATCGCTCAAATTCCAAAGGTTATAGATGCTCCTCAGGGACAAAGACCACATATATTTCTTACAGAATCATACAAGGTTTGAATTGTTTCTCGATTTTTTTTTTCTTTAAACACTCCAGAAGATGAGACAACTTGATGAGTGGCAGGAATTTCCAGGCTTCTCAGCTGCCCCGCCCCGCCCCGCCTGTGTAAATGAGCCCCTGGCCCAGCCCAGAATTCTGTCACTTTCAAGAACACACTCCTGGTTCTTCAAATCTGCACTCTGAACTCTTGCTTTCTGGCTAATGAATTTTGAACTATTCTAAACTAATACTTACTTAGGCTAAACCAAGCTACGGTTTTTATCTCTTTTGGGCAGGAAAGGGGGGTGTAGGGACATTGCACAGTTTGACGGCGGCGTCATATGAAGAAACACAATTAAGAATTACTTGTCTAAGCCACATAGGCCACTGTCCACTCTGTGGTCTTTAAATACCTTCTTGGTGTTTTTTTAAAGCCCTGTCCTATAATCTTTTCTACAATAGTTCTCCATGTTTCCCTCTGGTTATATGAGGCCTTCACAAATGTTCTTCCCTTTCACAAATTCCTTTTCCTCTTCCCTTGAACAGCTAACTCCTTGTTCTCTAGACCACATTGTAAACGCTGTTTCTTCAGAAAGCCCTTCCCTTATTTACCCACCCAATCCAAACGAGGCTCCTATTATTCTCTTATAATGACCTGTACTATCAGTTCACGGCTTTTGTCCTAATTTGTAACTACACATTTGTTTGTGTTTGGTTAATACTTACCCTGCATCCTTCCCCATTAAAGTACAAGCTCCGTGCAAGCAGCGTTGCTCACATCTCTATGTCCAGTGCCCAGAACATGGCACATAGTAGGCACTCAGTTTATATTTGTTAAATAATTAGAGGTTTTTCTATAGAGGCCTAGGATTTTCTAAACATAGTACTGAAGTCTAGTGTCTTCGGATACAAATTATTCTTGGTGTCTTCCAAATAGAGAGCCCTGTCACAGCAATAAGCACATTTTCAAATGTCTGTTCTAGTCCACACATCATGTGCTTGTTGCTTTAAATAACTGCTAATCCTCGCAATGGTCCTGCAAGGTAGGAATTATCACCCCATTTTACAGCCAAGAGCCCCAAGATTTAGAGAGCTAAATTAACTTCCTCATGGTCTCATGGTTAGTAAGCAGAGGCGCATCCAAAATTCAGACCCAGGAGAGCTCAGAGGCCAGGGTCTGTGCTCTCTCTACTCAGTCCCTTCTTCTCAGCCAGGGAGCACAACCACCCCAGGGGTGTACTTCAGCAGGCCTGAGAGTATGAGAAACCACAAGCCCAGCATTTGGCCCATGGCTTGTATTTCTTTTTTTCCCCCCAATGGTAAAAAACATAAAATATTTTTGTGTTAAGAAAAGACTTATTTTAAAGTGTAACGTAATAAATTTAAAGAAATTAAAACAAAACAAAACACAGAAGTTAAAAGACATTTCATGCCTGTTGTCCAGGCTGGTCCCAGGAACCTCCATGGAAAAACATGAGAGGCAGACATTTGTCACCCTGTCTTTCTTCATTTTATGTCCCTTTTCCTTGTTGCTATATTTTTTAAATACCAGCATTCCAACTCCATCTTCATTTCCACTCCTATCCTTTCATTAAAAAAAAATGTTTAAAGAGAGTGGCAGTGTGTCAGCCACAGGCGTGTCATTTTCAAAACTGTTAAGTCATTTATGAGGACACCTCATGTAGGTACAATAAATCTGGTTTTTATTACACATCTTAGTTTAGAATCACTTTTACATTCCTAGACAAAGAGATGATACAAATAAATATCAACTGTAAAACTTCAAGCCCCAAGTATTGGCATATTCTTTGTCTAAAGGTAGCCAAAGAGAAGGTCAAGATCAATAGTAACTCTAATGAGCCATAAAGCCCACTGCCTCCTTCCTGCACCAGGATTACTCCTTTCATAAATAACCTCAAAAGCATGTCATTCAAGAAACAAGGGCAGGGAGAAAGGTGGCAGATTTCTGAACAGTACAAGACAAAACCTTGCGAGATAGACAACAGCCAGGCCCACTATTCTTATCCAGTTCCCTCTGAGCATTTTGATTATGGCTTTTAGAGTATATTAATAGCCCCATTTTCAACCACTGATGGTGTTCAGATGGCCCAAGCTGTTGCTTGCAGTGAACCTTGACCTCAAGTGGGAAATGTGAGGCAGAACTGATATCCCATGTTAACGGCAGGGTATCGACACTTCTCAGCAACTTGGCAACAATTTTACATTCAGTGAGAGAGGACTTACAAGAGTCAGACAGGAAAAGCAGAGAGCGGCCCACACCTGAGCTGCAGAACTCTCTGATGCACTTGGTCATGGAGGTGTGGGTGGTGCGGTTCAAGCAGCATGCAGGCAGGCATTCAACAGGGAACAATCCAATGTTAGGTCAGTCTTAAGAAAGTGCTTCATGCCTATGATTTCTGGCCTTGGGTTCTGAATCCAGGGGTCTGCGAGACATATGACTTTAAACTAGGAAGCCAAATACATTCCTACTGATCAGAGCAAAATGGGGCCTGGTGAGGGCTGCACACACAGTCTCAAACTCCTTCTCCAGATGATCTCCTTAAATACTGTTAGGTTGGCTTCCAGACTCCACCAGCTGCTGCTGGCACGAAGGCCCTCAGATGGCCTGAGACATTGAAGCACGACTACAGACAGGAAAACCTGGTCCCTCGGTGGGCTTGGGAGGTCCTCCAAACGTTTGGCTCAATTCAGAGCCGAAAGCAGCAGCTGTCTGGTAGCAATAAGACATTCTACTGTCTGCTCTATTCAAATATTTATCGGATCCACTTTGAGAGAAGAAAAGCACCAGAGACTGCTTGGGAAGGAAGGCTTCTCCTTCACACAGGTGTTCTTCCGCTTTCCTCACAGACCACCAGATGAACACGGCTGAGACCAAGGCAAGCTTGTTTTACTCACCCTGTTTGTCAACTGGCTTTCTTCTTTTGCCTTTTTAGAAAAGTTCTACGGTCACTTAACCACCCTTGGTCAGATAGCCACCTCGGGACATCTGTAATAAGGTACTGTGTTACCTGCAGTGTTCAGTTCTCAGACTGGCCAGGTGAATATTTTCAGCCTACAAAATTCATACTAGTTCTGAAAAAATGTGGTGCAACAGACAGGTGTAACCGGCAGGTAATCTTAGGCTATCACCTTGTTATTTGGTTCCTATTCAAACAGGTAAAATTTTACTAAATAAGAAGAAGCAGGGTTTGATCCCAAGAAAGATGAAGGAAGGCTCCATTATGCTCTGGGAATTACTGAAAAGGGCCCTGGGTTCAGAAAGAATGGTTACGAAAAAGGAGATCAGCTGCCAGATGGCAGACCTCCATTTGTAGAACGCTAAGACATTGCACTTGGTTCCTCCTCTCACCCACAGGTTCTGATCCTGAAATGTGCCCTGGGAACTGAGCAGCTAAGTTAAAATATAACTCAAGGCCCACCTGAGTCGCCACATTCCTGAGGCACCGTGCCAGCAAGGTACACCAGTGTGGCAGACCTGGGGACTTACACTGTCCCCTCAGGCTTGGCTCATGGACTCAGACACCCACAGGGGAGCGCTTCCAGCCTGCACTCGTCATTCAGTGGGCCTTTAATGCGGACACAGGTAACAACTGGACATTAGTGTCGTTCTAACATGGGGCAAGTTCTTGGTCTCTATCTCTCTCTTACAGACGCACAGGGACACACTCAAAGAACACTGGCACCATTGTGCTTGCACACCCACGCACACCTATGAGCTTCTCTTGGGGGAAAAGGAGTAACATTCACTTAATGACCAACATAAAAATGAAGCTCTGAATTTCAATAATACAAAGAACTAAAACCTATAAACCACACTAGTTTATGTAAACGGGAATTTCTAACTCTCTCCTCTGAGCCTATTCAATCACACAGCCGCTCCTCGCCACCACTTCTGGTTCTGCCTGGGGGGAGCCACAACTCTAGGATTAGGCGACTTTCAGCTGAAGGCAAGCAGGGTTCCTTTGCTTTCACCTGTTAGGTCTTCCCTTCACGCTGCATCGAGCCTCGTGTCTCTGCCTCTGCATCTGCCTAGTCACCCTTAGGGTCTCTATTCAAATATGGAACAAAATGGGGAATTCAAAAGTGCCACCATATGTCTCATTCCCCCTACTCTTGTCCCATCAGAGAAGACAGAGCCAGCCTCCCCTCTCCCACAAAGTAGGCCCACTGCAAAGCGTGCTCTGGAGGCAGACGGGCCGAGGAAGGGACGCTCAGAGTACGCGCGCTTGGCTAAAGATGGTGACAAATGAAGAGTAAAGTGACACGGTGTATGGACATGGCATCAGCTTACAGATTAACGTCTTTGACAGGATGGTCATGGTTTTGAGGTTTTAAAGAAGCTGTTTCCCTAAACTCTCCAAGGAGGCAAAGGGAATGTGATTTCTATTGCTGCCAACATTAATCCTTCCGGAGCAGAAAGTGGTAGCTTCCTCGGAAAACATTTCCTTATTCAGCAGATCCCAAAAGCAGATCCACTTTTTACTGAGGAGCATGGATCATGCCCAGTTGGGGCTTGGATCCAAATGAGATTTCTCATTTCAACCTACAAGAACAGCACTATTCAAGTTCTAGGGCTTTCATTTTTCAACCTTACTTTCATTGTATCCTGAGGCTCCAAAGACTTGGTCCCACTAAGATGACTCCTGATTCTGCCCTATTGCTCAACAAGGGAGCCCAGTGTAAAGAACAGGCTAGAAAAGGAGAGGGGAGAGGACGGAAGGCTAGGGTAGGGAGAGGAGAAGAAGGCAAGGGAGAAGGGAAGCAAGGTCACTGGTCATTCTCTTGCTTTCCACTTCAACTACCGCGCTTTACCTTACCCATGCATTTCTGAGATGCTAATTAAAGGACAGTGCTGAGTGCCGGATCTGGACCAGCACCTTTCAGCCAGATTAAATTGGTTAATCTGCAAAGAGGCCATCACTTCTCCCCAGGGGAATGGTTCTGAGTTTGGGCTGGAGTCATCTCTGCAGGTATTTGCTCATCTCTTCTCTCAGAAGGCAAACACTGTTTAAACCCCGGGAGAGGAGGAACTGGCTTTACTTTGGAACCAGCCCTCGAGACTGTGGATAAAGCTGAGATGTACGGGTTCCTGAGGAAGAAGAGGAGGATCCCGACTTCCTTCCGCTTTTAGGCCTGCAAAAGTCAAGCACATGTTCATATTATGCATCCCATCTCTGTCACTAACACAGGTCAGAGTCCTTTCCCATCAAGAGCCATTAACATTTCAAGGTGGCCTTATCTCAATGGCCTGAAAGTCAGTATACTTTCAGCTTTAAAACCATCAAACTGGCACAGCCTGACCCTTTACACATGACCAAGACGCTCTGCCAACCCAGGTGTGAAGCCTCAGGGAAGGGACTCTGATTTTCAGCAATTGTTTTTCCATTTAAATCAAATCTTTACCGTCTTCTCCAAATTGACAAAAAATATTAAGCTCCCAGGTAGAATTTCTTCCATTTTTGGTTTTTCACCTAGTTGTTTTCTTTTTAACTTCTAACCCAAATTTAAGATTATAGAATTTCTAATTTAGCATCAAATTAAATCCCTGATACCCAGTGGGAACCAAAGACTGTCCCTTGTTTCACTAGAACACGTTCTTTATAGTAGGAACTGGGCACATTTTGGTATTCAGTCTACTTGGCATAATGCCTGAACCATAAATATTTGTGTAATAAACGAATAAACACAAGAGTAGTATGGCAGTATTTTCTGGCACATCCTGTAAAGCATTCTGTGATAAACAAACACTCTTGGCATCCTCTGCCTTCACTTGTCCTTGTGCATACATGTTCTGTTCAAATACAGGTCATCAAGAGCCACTCACCTGGCCTTGGATTTCTTATTTGCGGTACTTTCAAAGGATGACGCATCCACTTGTATCTCATCTTCGTCCTGCAGAGCCGCATCCAATGCAGCCTGGACTTTGGGGGCAATGGCGGGGCCCTCGTAGTCTCTGGTGGTCCGGCTGGGCATGTCCAGCTCTAACAGCACAATGTTTTCTGCCTGCAGAAAAGCACAGCCATTACCAGCTAGGCTGGTTTCCAATCAGACACAGAGAGTACAAGCAATGTAGACCCTTCCAAAAACAGAACTGCAAATTGCTTGCTCCTCAGAGCCTACCAAGAAGCTGCCTCAAAGAAGTGATGTAGTGTTACAACTTTTTTCCTGGAGAGATTGCTGATGATTTTTATTTTCTTCTCTAGGCTATTCACTCTTTTACTTTTTAAAAAATAAAAGTATCTTGAAAAAAAAAGATTTCATTTATTTATTTTTAGAGAGAGGGGAAGGGAGGGAGAAAGAGTGGGAGAGAAACATCAATGTGTGGTTGCCTCTCACGTGCCTCCTACTGGGGACCTGGGCCTGCAACCCAGGCATGTGCCCTAACTGGGAATCGAACCAGCAACCTTTTAGTTCACAGGCAGGTACTCAATCCACTGAGCCACACCAGCCAGCGTTAAAAAAAAAAATCTTTAACAATGAGCATGTATTACACCCTCAGTGGAACAACAATAAATTAAGTAAAACCCATTTATTACAGACAATGTAAAAATATAAGAAGGTATAAGGAAGAAAATAGTAATCACCAATAATCTTACTACCTAGAGCAGCTATGATGAACGTTTTGGTTGCCAAGGGGAAGAGGCAGGTCTGGGGTACATGTGTGAAGTGTGTATGTGGCAGTGTATGTGCTTGTAACCACATTTTGAAAATCAGTCTGGGCCCCGCCTGTTAACTGGTCTTGTGGATGTACTCCTTCACTTGATATCCTGTGGTGGGCCTTTTCCTACCTCCTACATACTGAGGCAAGTGCATAAGGGAAGAGGACAGTTTAAACATCTTGTCCTCTAGCTCCTCCCACTCGGTGGAGTTCAGGCCCCAGTGTTCTGTGGGCGGGGGGCAGGGGGCTGCTGCAGGGAGAAGGTAAGGAGAGGAAGTGGCTCTCTTTATCCATTTTACAAACTGAGACACTGCTCAAAATTTATCTTAATGGAGTGGGTCTGTTGCTAAAAACATCTGAGAGGCACTGCTTTAAATTCTACCTTTGAATCAGGTTAGCCCCCCTGGAAACCCACATATTTGATTTGTAGGCTTGAAAAGCATGTTTTTGGCTTAAGACATGAAATAACTGGCAAGATATGCACACTCTGAAACGGCTAGAAAAATGCTTCTGAGGACGCATCACTCATCCTCCATGATATAAAACCCCATCTAATAGATCTCTTTTGCTTTTGTTTTCTTTATTTTAAATGACTCGGTGCCAGGAAGAACAGCACCTGAGGAGCTAACCAATCCTAGTCTGTTTTTCTCTGGCTGCCAAGGGAGACTCAAAAACATTTTAAATGAAAATATTTCATTATTAAAATAATACAGAGTCCCCACTGATAGAAAATACAGATAAGCAAAAAAGAAGAAAATTTAAATTGAGTACACTTCCATTAACCAGGGACTAGTTCACAAATCAAAAACCAGTTCTAGATTTTTAAAAATTCATACATACACTTGCAGCACCAATTGTTTTATAACTTAACAATATATTGTGTCTCCTGGTTCATCCACTTACCAGCTACCTACTAAGTTCCAGGACTATTGCACAGAGTAGATGGGAAGGTTCAAGCAGAGAAAGCAATAAAGCACCAAATAGTGCCTGGCACACAGCAAGTGCTTATAGAGAGAAGCTCTCCCAGTATTATTATGTTTGGGTCATTAAATGGGCCTTAATTATGGCATTTTGTGTAACTACATGACTGACCACATTATGTTAAATGGAAGTACCATACCTTTTTAACACATTTCCATTTCCTGTCACTGACACTTCCATTTCTCCCAGTCTTCCCACGGAGCCAGTTTAAAGCCTGGTGTTAATGTCTACTGGCCATTATGGACAGGATGCTTGTACTCTCCTCCTAGTCCTGATTTTCTAAATCTCATTCTATTTCGTCTTTTTAATGTATAATTGTTATTGTTCTTTTTGTTACTTATTTGTTAAAATTGTTATATTCATATAACTTCCCTCAGGTGCCTCTGGAAAGAGGATGAAAAAACTCTGTGACTTTGCAGAATGGTGCCTACGGGTTTACATGAATCTAAACTCCTCTATGAGAGAGAGGAGGGGAACGCAGGAACAGTCTCCTCACCCTGTATCGGGCCTCTGGACGAATCATCATTGACATCCTTGCGTGTTGGCTCAATGGTCTCTTATATCCCACAGCTGAGACTGGCCGCTTCATCATCTGCTGATTCCTGGAAATGGACTGCAGTGGTTAAAGCGCTGGCTGACGTGTGTTCCACAGCCCCACGTTCGGTCCTGTGGAACCAGCACTCAAGACTCTGAGCCTGCTCAAACAGAACATCAAGCCACTGACTTCCTGGACTGAGAGCTGACATGGAAATGATGCAGGGGCAGCTAATACTTTCTGCTTGGGCTGCTTTCTGATTCAAACATGAGCATCATGCATCTTTTAAGCTGGAAGAGATCTGAGTCATCATCCAGTTCTTCGGCAGCAGGGCATGAAGCATAGCTGTCAACACTCCCCACCCCTGCGTCCTTGGCAGACATCTCCCATTTCTCCAGCAGGACCCAGACTTATACTGAGTGTCCTTCTCAACACCGTGTCAGACTGACACGCAAGATGACACCTGTGGACTGGCCCTTGTTTGGCCTCGTGTGCTTCACTTGACAGCTGGGGAAGCTGAAATGCAGGAACTTGGGAGAGGTCATTAGTTCACTGTGAGAAAGTCTCCCAGTTCCTAATACCATACTCATCATCAAACTTCTACCTCCTGGAACTATGCCATCACAAAATCAGAGATGCAATTGGTTTCAACTTCAAGTGAATCAAACTGCATTCTTACCACAGCCCTCTGGCCAAGTCCAGCTTATCAGCATTCTTTCCCTCCTCCCCACCTTCAAGTCTACTTAAAGTCAATAGTGACTTACTCCAGTCTGGTTATAGGATGTAATTTCCAATGATCTTCCTCTTCATCAAAGAAGGATCTATTCATAATTTTACTTTTTTCTTCCAGAGGGATAAAGTTTTCTATAATAAGATGCCTGTAAGAGCACACATACAGGGGTGAATACACAGAGAGAAAGAATACAGGTGGAGTGCTGGCTATCTGGTCCCACGTGCAGTGAGTACTTACATAAGTTACTCGGCAAACATTTACTAAGCAGGTCCTGTGGGCCTACCATCATTCGAAGAACTGAGATACAGACATGAATGACATTTGGTCCCTGCCTGAGACAGAATGGTGCGGCACTCCTAGGTACGACAGGTGCTGGCAGGGGTCTGCCCCAGGAATATGGAGAGGTCACTTCTGCCCTCGGAGGCGCTGCGTGGGGAGGTGAAAGAACTGAAGAGGAAGGCCATACGGGAGTGAGTCAGTGCCATCTGAGACACCTTTGGAGGGCCACTGGTACTGCTAACCCAGCTCATTAACTTCCAACATGCTGAGAACAAACTGGAAATTAAACTGCTTTCCTCCAAACCCCTGGATTGTCGCCAGAGATGGAAAATTTCATATTCTGATCACCAGGACAAAGAGCAGGACCAAATGGATTTCAGTCCCTTAGACTTCTGAGAATGAAGACAATTCCTGAGAAGAGTCTGCGTGAGAAGTGCCTAGGGAACAGGGCAAACACTGAAACTGGAACTGGCTGCTTTGTGTCACACCATAGCGATGACTGTCTCCTGCCACCTCTCTGCATTCACTCTTTCAAAACCTCAGGGCAGAACAATGCCGAAGGGGTGTTAATGTGAGAGAAAACACACAGCAAACACCACAGGTGCCGGGTACTGACTGTTAAGAAACAGGCTGACTCACTGTTTATTCAAAAGATATAAGAGCTATAACAGTAAAAGTGTCTTCTTTAGGGGAAAATATATTTTGGGAAGATGAAATTTTCTCTTCATTTTATTTGACATTTAAGAAATTATTTTTCAAAACATACATTTGGGGTTTTCCCCTCTGATTTTAAAGCTCCTATTTACATATTAGGAAATTTGAAAAACATAATTACACATAATTTCACTATCCAGAGATAGCTATTATTAATATTTTGGCAGATTTTGTTCTGATCTTTTTTTCCAGGTGTGCATACCTAGAAAGAGGCCTCACACACACATTCAATTTTAAAGGCTCCTTTCGAAACTTAAAACTTGATCATTAAAAGAATCCCTTTGAAAAGTTCTTTAAAGAAAAACTCCACCTAATGCTGTGAAAGGACGGATACAGAAGAACATCATTTTGTAATCCCTGATGAAATAAAAGATCCAGACAAAGATCATTATTGGTTGAAACCAGTAGCTCAGTGGTTCTCAAACTGAGCTGCACATGAATATTGTTTAGGGAGTTCTCACAAATATCTTCCCCAGACCTCATGACAGATCAATGGTTCTCAAAGTATGTTCACTGAAGCAGCAGGAGCAACAACTGGAGCCTGTTAGAAATGCAAATTCTCAGGCCCCACCCCAAACATACCAAATCAGACTCTCTGTGCATGGGGCCCCGCCATGCATGTTTAACAAGCCTTTCAGATGATTTGGTGCCTGCTGAAGTTTAAAGACCACTGCCCTATACCAATTCAATAAAAATCTCCAGGGTGGGACCCAAGCATCATTATTTTTAAAAACCCTTTTGAGATGATTTCTGTGTTCAGCCAAGGTTGAGAACCAGTGCTTCAGAGCTAGCTTTCAATTAAAGGAAAATAAGAGAGGCAGACACAAATTAAATGGCACCATGAAGAAGCAGACCAACAAATCCAGAATGTGAGATATTTCTACAGGTTATGTGACCCAACTTTTTCAACAAGTCAACTAGAAAAAAGTTCTTAAGAGGAAAGGGGATTGTTCCAGATTAAAATAAAGTTAAGACACACAATAACCCAAGGCAATATGTAGGTCATATATAGATATCTTTTTTAAAAAATACATTTCATTGATTAGGCTATTACAGTTGTCCCAATTATCCCCCTTTGCCTCCCTCCACCCAGCACCCCCATTCCCTCCAGCAATGCCCCCGCTTAGTTCATGTCCATGGGTCGTGTATATAAGTTCTTTGGCTTCTCTATTTCCTACACTTTTCTTAACATCCCCTTGTCTATTTTGTACCTACCAATTATGCTTCTTAATCCCTGCACCTTTCCCCCTATCCTCCCCTTTCCCTCTCCCAGGTGATAACCCTCCAAATGCTCTCCATATCTGATTCTGTTTCTGTTCTGGTTGCTTAGTTTGTTTTTTTAGATTCAGTTGTCGACAGTTGTGAATTTGTTGCCCTTTTACCGTTCATAGTTTTGATGATATTCTTTGTCTTAAATAAGACCCTTTAACATTTCATGTAATACTGGCTTGGTGATGATGAACTGCTTTAGCTTTACCTTGCCTAGGAAGCACTTATCTGCCCTTCCATTCTAAATAATAGCTTTGCTGGATAGAGTAATATAGGTTGTAGGTCCTTGCTTTTCATCACTTTGAATACTTCTTGACAGTCCTTTCTTGCCTGCAAAGTTTCTTTTAAGAAATCAGCTGGTAGTTTTTCTTATGGGAACTCCTTTGAAAGTAACTCTCTGCTTTTTTCTTGCTGCTTTTAAGATTCTCTCTTTATCTTTAATCTTAGGCATTTTAATTATGATGTGTCTTCCTGTGGGACTGTTTGCATATGTCTTGCTTGGGACTCTATGTGCTTCCTGGACTTGTATGACTATTTCCTTCACCCAATGAGGGAAGTTTCCTTTCCTTATTTTTTCAAATAAGCTTCCAATTTCTTGCTCTTCCTTTTTTCCTTTTGGTATTCCAATGATTTGGATGTTGGTACATTTGGAGATGTCCCAGAGGTTCCTTATACTATCCTTGTCTTTTTTTTTTTAACTCTTTTTTTTTTCTTGCTGTTCTGGTTGAATGCTTATTTCTTCCTTATGTTCCAAATAGCTGATTAGCGTCCTGGCTTCGAGCCCTCCACTGTTGGTTCCCTGTAGATTTTTTCTTTATTTCACTTAGTGTAACTTTCATTTCTTCCTGGGTCTTCTAATTTTGTTGCCATACTCTATGAGCATTCGCATAGGAGTTCTTTGAGCATTCTAATCACCAGATTTTGAACTCTGCACCTGACAGGTTGGTTATCTCCATTTCATCTTCTTCTTTCTTCTGAGGTTTTGTTCTGTTCTTTCATTTGGACTATATTTCTTTGTCTCCTCAATTTGGCAGCCTCCCCGTGTTTGTTTCTATGTATTATGTAGAGCTGCTTTGATTCCCTGTCTTTGTAGTGTGGCCTATTGTAGAAAAGGCACCTGTAAATTGTGTGGGGTGGAGCCTTAGGTAATCGCCAGGGTGGGGCAACCCACTTCCCTGCTTTGTGGTTGTGTGGGGGGAGGGCTTGGAAAGGGGACAATGCTGCTGCCTGGTTTCTGGAGGTTTGCCCAGCACTCACCCTGTTTCCAGTCGCTTCACTTACTCCCCATATGCGATTGGTGCCCTTTCAGCTATTGTCCTGGCACTGAATCCCAGAGAGGGTGGGTTCTGTAAATGCTGTAAGTCTCTGCGATCCCTTTTAGCAGAGTGTCCTGAAAACCCGGCAGCTTCTTCTGCCCTCCAACCCCCACTGGCTTTTACAGCCAGAAATTATGGGGAGTTCTCTCCTGGTGCTGGAACCCTGGGCTGTGCAGTCTGGCCTGGGGCTGGGATGGCTCGCTTCCTGATTTTTATGACCACATGTGAATGTGGGACCACCTGTTCCGCTGCTGCCTCTCTACTCCACACCGTGTCTCCACACGTATCTACCTGCCTTTGCATCTCTGCCCCTGCTATCCATGTGGACGAACATGGCTTCCTTAAATCCTTGGTTATCGGACTTCTACACAGCTCGATTTGCTGATGCTTCTGGGTGTTATTTGTTTTGCAGTCTAGCTGTAATTCTCTTTGTGGTTGCATGAGGAGGCAAAGTGTGCTTACCTACTCCTCCATCTTGAACAGAAGTGCCCATATATAGATCTAAATATGAACAAACCAAGAAAACCTGAATATGGACTGAGTATGAGAAAATACTAAGAAACTTAATTTTGTTAGGTCGGAAGATATCATTGTGTTTTAAACAAAAATCAACTATATTTCTATATACTAGCAATAGCATTCTGAAAGAAAATTAAGAAAGCAATTCCATATACAATAGCATAAGAAGTTAGAATACTTAGGTATGAATTTAACAAAAGAAGTGCAAGTAGTTGTACACTGAAAACCATAAAAGAGTCTTGATAGAAATTAAAGAAGATATAAATAAATTAAAAGAAATGAAATAAAAAAGATCCATGAAAATCCTATGTTCATGGATCAGAACACAATATTAAGATGACAATACTCTCTAAATTGATCTACAGATTCAACATAGTCCCTATTAAAATCACAGCTGGCTTTTTTGCAGAAATTGACAAGCTGATCTTAAAATTTATACAGAAATGCAAGGGACCCTGAATAGCCAAAAATCCTTGAAAAAGAACAACAAATTTGGAGGACCCACCTGTCCTCATTTCAATACTTATTGCAAAGCTACAGTAATCAAAAGAGTGTGTTATTGGCAAAAGGACAAACACGTAGCTCAGTGGAACAGCACTGAGGGTTTAGAAATGAGTCTTCATGTTTATGGTCACTGATTTTCAACAAGGGTGCAGAGATAATGAGAGAAGAGCCATTTCAACAAATGCTCCTGGGACAACAGGATATACACATGCGAAAGAATGCATTTGAAACCCTAACTCAGACCATACACAAAAGTTACCTCAAAATAAATCATAGACCTAAATGGAAGACTTAAAACTGTAAGACTCTTAGATGACCTAAGACAATTAAAAACGTAAGTCTATAATAAAACTCATAAGCAAATGTTCATGGAAGCATTTTTCATTACAGCTAAAAAGTAGAAACAACCCGAATATCCATCAACTGAGGAATGGATAAATAAACAAATACTCATCCAATACAGTATTATTCAACAATAAAAAAAATGAAGTATTGAAACATTCTACAACATGGATGATGATCCTTGAAAACACTATACTAAATGAGAGAAGCCAGTCACAAAACGTCATATTATTTCATTTCTATATTTATATACGATATCCAGACTAGGCACATTTAGATACACCACCAAAAATTCAAGCAACGTAAGATCAAGTGGACTATATCAAAATTAAAATCTTTTGTGCTATAAATACCATCAAGAAAGTGAAAAGACAACCCACAGAATGGAAGAAAGTATTTTCAAATCATATATCTGATAGGGGACTTGTATCCAGGATATATAAAGAATTCTTACAAGTCAACAACAAAAAGACCCAATTAGTAACCCAAATTTAAAATGCACAAAGTGTCTGAACAGATATTTCTCCAAAGATGAACAAAAGCCAATAAGCACACATGAAAAGATGTTCAACATCTTTAGCCGTCAGGGAAATGCAAATCAAAACCACGAGATACCACTAAACACCCATAAGAATGGCTATAATAAAAAAAGACAGATAATAAAAGCAAAAAAAAAAAAAAAAAAAGGAAAATAAAAGACAGTATCAATGAGGAGGAATTGGTGGTGGAAATGTAAAATGACGCAGCTATTTTATTTTTAAATTTTTAAAGTATGTTTACTGATTTAGAGAGAGGAAGGGGGAGAGAGAGAAACATAGACGTGAGAGAGAAGCATCGATTGGTTGCCTCCACACACGCCATGATGAAGATAGAATCTGCAACCCAGGTATGTGCCCTGACTAGCACTCTCGAACCTTCCACAGTTTTGGTGTATGAGATGACAACGACTGAGCCACACTGGCCAGAGCCGATGCAGCCACTTTAGAAACCAGTTTGGCTTCCTCAGAAAGGTAAACACAGGGTTACCAATGACCTGGCAATTCCACTCCTAGGTATATATCCCAGAGAAATTTAAAAAATGCCCATATAAAAACCTGCCCATGAATGTTCACAGCAGCATTATTCATAATAGACAAAGACTGGAACCCAAATGTCTGTCAACTGAAAAACAGATAAATAAAATGTGGTATAGCTATACAATACAATACTCTTCAGTCATAAAAAAGAATGAAATATTGACATGCAACAACATGAGTGATCCTTGAAAGCATCATGTTAAGTGAAAGAAACGAATCACAAAAGACCACGTATCATATGATTCCGTTTATATGCAATGTCCAGAATAGCAAGTTTACAGAGGCAGAAAGTAGGTCAGGACTGCAGTGGGGAGAGGGGATAATGAGGGGGGACTGCTAATTGGTATAGGGTTTCTTTTTCAGGGAACAAAGTTAGACCGTTGATGGTTTTACAACTCTATAAATACATATTTTTGAAAAACTGACTTGTATACTTTAAATACATGAACTGAATGGTATGTGAGTTATATTTCAATAAAGCTTTTTAAATACAGCGTTACAGTCATGTATGTAGGTATAAATGAGATAACATGAAGTACAATTTGCTTTAAATGTTTATAAAAGACAGATGACAAAAGATGATTTATCATTGAATCTAGGTGATGGGTATTTGGGTGTTCATTATACCATTCAGAAAATTCTAGTTAATAAAAGATGCCGTCTTATCAATAGATAACTTTAAAAGCTTCAGGAGGGCAAAGGGGAAGGAAACTTGGAGATCACGTGGTGAAATCATTCAGTTCACAGATGAAGCCCAGAGACAGAGTGGCTCTCTCAACAATAAAGAGACGCCAGACAAAGTGGCAAGAGATGAGCTGGAGAGAAGGGGCCCTGTCCTCTGGGAAGTGTTACTTACCAACCAACCACGCAGCAAGTGGCTGGAGGTGCCATGGAGGGCCCAGAACTTACTTGAGTTTCAGCTCCCTGGTGAGCTCATTCTGAGTCTGCTCCAGCTCCTGCCGCTCCTTGATGTGCTCTTCTTGGAGGTCGTGGATCTCTGCCTTCACTGCCTGAAGCTTGGAGAAGAGCTGGAACCCAAGGAAGAGGCAGATGAGGAGGGCGGCCCTCCAGACAATGAGCAATCCCTTCCCCCAAGTCTCCAGACACCCCTGCCTGGCCTTGCTCCTTTTATATACCTTTTTGAGTTTTTTGGTCTTGATGTCCACCTCTTGCTGCAATGAGCTGTATGTCTCTTTAAGTTCCAAAGTCTCCTCATCTCGACTTTCCATCTGTTGCTGGATTTCTCTTTCTCGACGTTTCTGAGCAACATTACAAAATTCATCAGCTTCCCTAGAGACAATGTCTAGACAAGAATATAGGGCAGGGCTGCTCCAGATCAGAGTCTCCCCCGAGAAAGGGGCTACCACAGCTTGTTTCCATTCCCTTTGAAGAGTCTAACACAAGAGATATTTGCCTTGTAGCACTAAAGCCCCTTACCCCATCACATTCTCCCCAGAAAAGGAGTAAAAAGTTACCTGCTCTGCAATTTCCTGCCGTTTTTGCTCCAGAATTTTCTGCTGTTCGTTTGTGTGATCTACTATATTTTTCCCTCCAACAAGCAGCTTACTTTCCATGGCCTGAGTGAGAAAAAAGTGGAATCCATCTTGTGAATGGTCTCTTTCAGAATACGTGTCCTCATAGGGAGCTCAGAACTAAACCAAAGGGGGTGAGCGCTGAGGGAAAATACATTGTGTTCAGCTGTGTCTGCCCGTCACTGGGATGGGGGCTGAGGTGGCCCTGCTGGGGGCGCTTTCCCTTGGAAACAATGAAGATACAGCTTCCCCAGACACACATGAACTTCAGCTTTCTTTAAAAAACAATGTTTTTGATTTGTTTGTACAAAGTATTGCCCCTACTTATAATGTAGTAAGCACCTCCTGTATGCTAGGCTGTGGGGATGCAACTGTGAATATAGATCACAAAGCTGAGAGTCCACTGAGGGCTGCAGACAAGTGAGCACGCTCTTACCATAAGGATCAGCAGCCACCAGGAGGAAAAGACCGAGCAGTAATGGGAGAGGCACACTGGAGGGAGAGAATTCAGGCTTTTGGAGGGAGTCAGGGAAAGCTTCCTGTCTCAAGTGACATCTATACAGAGTGCTGAAGTAAAAATAGGAATCAGCTAACAAAAAAAATTGTGTGAGAGGGCAGGGAAGGGAGTGGTGGTGCATGAAAGTTGGCAGAGCGATCAGGGGTCAGCTCAACAACCTCAAAGTTCTGTTATGGGAGACTAAACTTGATGCCGAGAACCGGAGCAACCACCGATGTGTCCTTTGAGCATGATGGTACACAATCAGATTTATGTTTCAGAAACGTTACTCCATGTCACAAAAAGAATGACTGGAAAAGGGCAGGCCAAGTGCAGGGAGACCAGACAGGTAGCTGTTCTGAGAGTCCAGGCCCAGGCTAGGGCAGTCATGGTGGGGGAGAGCAAAGGAGACGGGTCCAAGAGATCCTGATGAGACAGGAGTCAGAGGCCGTGGGGCTGACTGGGCCCCACGCGGGAGGGAGAGGCAGCCACGAGGGGCCTCGCTTGACTGAGAAAAGGAAGGGAGGAGTAGCCTCTGGGTGGCGGGGGACATCTTGGTGGAAATGTGCAGTAGGCAGAGGCTACTGGCTTGGATGTTAGGAGATGGTTCTGGGTTGGTTGTGCAGATGGGGAGCCTCCAACATTTAGATGTTGGTTGTAGCCACTGGAATGATTTGCTCCTGAAACACTGGAATCCAAAAGCTCCACAACCTTGCTTTTAAGAATCCTATAAACACTAACTGTAGCCCTGCTACCGTCGTTCAGTGAGCCCTTGAGACTGTTTCCTCGCTTTAAACAAAGGGGCTGGACTGATCACTACCTCCCAACTCAACACCCTCCCCCGCCCTCCACACACACACACACCCCCCTCCAGCTCTAAATTCTTTTGTCCTATGATTTTACAGCAGTCAGGAATTGGGAAAGACAGAAGTAATGTCATTTTCCCATAAACAAAGCGTGTTAAGAGATTCAGTGACCTTGAGGGAATGCTGAATGTTGCCACACTTGGCTTCTGAGAGTTGCCTAAATATGCCAGGTTGTTTAGAGAGCCTAGGTGTTCCTGGGCCTGAATAACAGGTGTGATCCTAAAACACGGCATGCAAATCAAACATGGGCACACCCAGGTACACTTCAAGTGCAGGAGTGAGGAGCGGTGATATGGTGTTTGACGTAATGGAATCCCATAGGAAGCCCCTCCCTGAAACACAGTTACCTCCTAATTGTGTTGTATATGAATCCAGTTTCACATTAGGTCTTGAAAGTCCTGGAAAGAACCCCTGTCTCTGAAGTAAAATAGTACCCAGGTCTGTGAAAGGGCCACTATGAAGCCACAGATAAAGTACAACTTCAGCCCTGGCTGGTGTGGCTCAGTGGATTGAGTGCCCCCTGCAAACCAAAGGGTCACCTGTTCAATTCCCAGTCAGGGCACATGCCTGGGTTGCGGGCCAGGCCCTCAGGAGGGGGCGCACAAGAGGCAACCACACAGTGATGTTTCTCTCCCTCTCTTTCTCCTTCCCTTCCCCTCTCTCTAAAAATAAAGAAATCTTTAAAAAAACGTACAGCTTCATATAGTGGGGGAAGGGGAGGCAAGAAAGAGACAACTTATCATTTTTACGTTAATAAACATACGTGCACTTTAGAATAGTAATCAAAAGGTTGCATAAATTCAATGACATAGAACCCAACAAATCAAAGGAATTCTGGCTTGTGGTCAGGCAGTGGTCATCCTAGGCCTCCAGGGCTAGCTTTGAGCTCTGCTCTGCCATTAAAGCCCTGTGGCAGCCCAGGGTCCAGGCGCCCGATGGAACAATACACTGCCACCAGGAAGAAGATGCCACACAGGGGAGCCTCCTTGCTCTACAATACTACTCAGCGACTGGCACATAAGGGCTGGAGGCTCGGGGAAGGGGTTGACTACGAGAGGGCCTTTGGGGGGTGATGAAACTGTTCTGTATCTTGTGTAATCACTGTACTGCATATTAAAGCCACACTGGGTTACCATTTTATAGCTACTTGACATACAAAAAAATTAAAGTCTGACAGTCACAAGTGTTGGTAAGGATGAGGAGCAACCTGAACATGTATGTTACTGGTAAAAGCTTTAATTCACAGGGCCACTTTAGAAAACAACTTCTCATCACCTAGTAAAGTTAAAGCTAAAGCTGCACATACTCTGGGCCCCAACAGTGCCAGACAAGAAATTCTGGTGTGTGCCTGTGCTCCTGGAGCCAAGCACAAGAACGTTCATAGCAGAAAACGAAAACAACCCACACTTTCAGGAGAATGGAATACTATGAAATTCTCAGAACAGTAATAATGAATGAATCACAGCCACAGGCATCAATATGGATAAATTTCAATAAAAGCAAAAGGCGGCAGTGAGATTCCATTTGTATAAAAGTAAAAAACGATGTGAAACTAAAACTACCTTTTATTTAGACATATATACATATATGGGAAACTATAAAGGCAAGCAAGGAAACACTAAACCACCAAATCCAAGATAATGGTTAAGTGGCAGGGGAAGGGGCGGCGACACAAAGAGCATGTAAAGATACGGATGCTGTTCTCTGTGTCTTACACTGGGTCGGTGGGGAGTAACATGGGTGTTGGTTTTGTTGCTGCTTTTTATATGTGCTGGCACATATGTAATAATTATTCTTATTACCAGCTCAATATTTAATTTTTTTAAATTTGAAAAAATTGTTTTTCATCATTCAATACAATTCGACAAATGTTCACTGAGCACTGGCTATCATGGAGCTACTGGGAATGCAAACCCCAAAGAGACATCATCCCTCATATCACTTTTTTTTTTTTTTTGATAAAACAAAAAGATCTGCAAGGGCCCAAGGAAGGGCACAGTACCTTGATTTTGGCACCCAGCATCTCAGCGGCATCTTTCTCCCGCCGCAGGTCCTCCATCTTTTTCTCCTTCTCTTTCAGCAGCTTCATCTTCTCCTCTGCAACCAAGCTGTGGTCCTCTACAATGGCCCGCTTCTCAATCTCCAGCTTTTCTTGCTGTTCCCGCCAATAATCATCCTTATCATCCCCTTCCTCCTCACCCTCTTCTCCCTCCTCCTCCTCCTCTTCCCCACCCCCACCACTGCCAACACCTTCCCTTCGCTTCTCTCGCCTCTTTCTCCTGCCAATGGACCGTTTTTCTAGCTGGGCCTTGAGCCGAGCAATCTCTTCTTGGAATTCTCGGAGGAGGGCATCCTTAGGGTCCTCGTTGACCCTCGGCTTGTTCTTAATGTTTTTGGCACGGTTGGCGTATCTCAGAGTGGTCAGAGTCTCTTCTACATTGTAGGAGGCAGGCCCCACATTGGCCACCATCACAGTTTTAGCGTTGCCACCAAGAGAATCTTGGAGGAGTCTGGTAAGCTTTGAGTCCCGATATGGAATGTGAGTGCTTTTTCCATCCACCAGGGCAGAGATGACATTACCCAAGGCAGAAAGGGACAGGTTAATCTTGGTCGCTTCCTTCAGTCTTTCCCCTTGCGCACCGGTCTTGGCTTGCCGTTCACTGCCAGCAAGATCTACAAGGTTCAATTTCCCTACACGAATATGGTTTTCGCCATCGAGGCCCACCTCACTGCACTCGATGGTGATAACAAAAATTGCATGAGACCGCGAACTGTGCTCATTCATGTTGGTAGCACCGACAGAACGGTTCTGGTTCCCCACATTCATCACGTGCTCTATTTCCTTCACACTCTTGGTAACAAAGGAAGACAGGTCTTTCACGTACACTCCAGTGTCAGGTCTCTCTTTGAGCTCAAGCCTTTTGGTCTGATCCTTCGAGAGCAGATCGCGGATCTCCTCCTGGTAGATCTCTAAGTAGGAAGCCCTAACCAGGTACTGTTGATTTTGGGATCGAGAGATGTGGGTGAAGATATGGTCAAATGAGTTAGGGATGACTCCCCTTTTTTCAGGGTCACCACGGACTCCTTCCATTGTGTAGGTTTTCCCAGTCCCAGTTTGTCCATAGGCAAAAATCGTCCCATTGAAACCCTGCAGGACAGAGTCCACGAGCGGTCGGAACGTCTCATCGTAGAGTTCAAACTGCTTGGCATTCCAGTCATAGACTGCATCAAAGGTGAAGGTCTTGGGCATTTCGTGGGCCACTCCTCTGGGGTTCTTCACAGACACCTGCCCCAGCTTCACATCCACATCTACCACCTTGTCATATGAAGCAGCCTTTTCCTTGCCATTCATGGGCCGACAGCGAACCACCACCCTGACCGACTCTGAGCTTTTTAACTTGGACATGCTGAACTCCGACCAGGTCAGCCGTGAGGGTGATGAATCCCAAATGCCTCAAGACGCTAAGGTCCTGAAAAAAAAGCAGAAGTAAGTAAGGACAGTAGAGTTGTCACTGAGGGCTGCTCATTAGCAACGGACACACCCAAATCATCTTCATTTTGATAACCTTCTGACAGCTACATTTTTTTTCTTTTTTTAAATTTATTTTTTAATTCTTCAACTACAGTTTATGTTCAGATTATTTTGTATTGGTTTCAGGTGTACGGCATACCAATTAGACAGTCATATACTTTACAAAGTGCTCCCCCTGCTATTTCCAGTACCCACTTGGCACCTTATGTAGTTATTACAGTATTAATGACTATATCTGATAGCTGCATTTAATAACTTTACTACATCATATATTACCTTAACCAACTTCAGTGGGAAAATAAAAACACTAGTCCACCAATAGCGTTAACTAGTTTGCCCTCCCTTCAGCCAGTATTTTATCTTACACTACAGACTGAAGCAGCTGGGAACCTCTCAAAAGCATGAGTAATCTTGTATCTTGTTGAATTACTACAACCTCTGCATAGAGTAATTTGGAACCAACTATCAAAACTTTAAATGCACAGGCCTTTGACTTAGCAGTTGCATTTCTAAGAATGTATCTTACAGATACAAGGATATTTGTTGTGGCATAGATCTTTTTTTTGAGAGAGAGAGAGGGGCAGGGAGGAAGAGAGCAAGAGAAACATTGATCAGTTGTCTCTCATATGTGCCCAGACTGAGGACCGAACCCTCAACCTAGGCATGTGCCCTGACTGGGTATCGAACCAGTGACCTTTCACTTTGTGAGACAATGCCCAACCCACTGAGCCACTCCAGTTTGGGTTGTTGTTGGCATCCTCTTGTGGCAGTGATAGACTGGGAACAAGCCCAATTCCCATCAAGGGGTGGCTGATTAAATAAATTAAATATATTTACCATATGTAGTGGAATCCTATGCAGTTACTAAAAAGAATGTATTGATCTGAATATAGTCCTATAGCAAGATATGTTAAGTGAAAAAAGCAGATGAGGAACAGTGTGTATGGTATAGATTACATAGTGTGTTAGCAAGGGGGGGGTCTGTGCATGTTTATACTTGACAGGCGCACCATATTATTAGAAGTACACACATAAAAGCAGTAGCAGTAGCACCTCAGCAGAGGAACTATGGGCTGAGCAGACTCAGAGGTCTATAGAGATAAAAATAAAAAACAAACAACTTTCTACTGCACACTCCTTTGTCCTGCTTGACTTTCCTATCTTGTCCTGCTAATACTTTTCCATTTTAAAATCATAAAGTATGGCTTGTGAAAAATCTATTGAAATAAATGAGGATGTGATGTAATGCATTACAATGAAAGCACTTACCCAATCAATAAATTTCATACAATTTGAATGCAAATAAGAAAATAGGTGTCATAATTTTTTAAGTAAAACAAAAAAAGGGAACTTCATTTGGTGCCAGAAAGCTCAGGGAGCAGAAGAAAGGGTGATTAAAGAAGAAAGGATGAGTCCTTTGGGAAGGAGTAGGGAACAAGGACCTCAAAATCCTGAAAACCTTAGTGCAGGATTAAAAAAAAAAAAAAAAGTAACTCACATGGTCCTTGTTTCAAAAGGCCCTTTGGTGACAGGTCCCTCTACCTCACCTGTTCTCCAGTCACCCAGTTTCCTGCCCACAGGGCAAGTGTTATTAGATTTTAATCTTCCTGAACTAGTTAATGAAAACAAGCAAATATGTATTAATATATACATACCCCTCCCATCTTACACAAGCACAGTATGCTACACACAGTAATACACAGTGTCCTGCACCTTTTTTTCACCAAACCATGTATCTTGTAGTTTGTTCCTTCAGTAAATGTAGAGCTGCCTCATTCTTTATGAAAGCAGCTATGTATCCCACCATATGGAGGCACCATAATTTATTTCACCACTACCCTAGCACTTAAGCTGTTTCTGGTATTTTACTATGAAACGTAGGGCCTCTCATGTGTGGAAAAATATACCTGTAAGGATACATTTTTAGAAGTGCAACTCCTCGATCACAGGACATACGCGTTTGTAATTTTAATAGATACTTAGAGCAATGAGAACGATATATTTTTTAGTTGTGAGAATGACCTATTCCCTGCCAACAAAAAGGCGGGGTGGGTGGAGGAGAATGGCCCTGGCTAGGCGGCTCAGTTGGTTGAAGCATCATCCCATACACCAAAAAGGCTGCGGGTTTAATTACCGCCAGGGCACATACTAGGTTGCATGTTCGATCCCTGGTCAGGGCATGTATGGGAGACAATCAATTGATATTTTTCTCTCACCCTGATATTTGCCTCTCTCTTCCCCTTCCTCTCTCTCTAAAAGTCAATAAACATATCCTCAGGTAAAGATAAAAATAAAAGAAAAATAAAAGGAAAAAGAATGTGAACCAGTGGCAGGCTACTCCTGGCATATGTGCTGAAGCTTAATATAGAAAGTCAGTATGTCCCTCCATTGATCTTTCACTTAAAAAATACTGTTCCACTGCTAAGAACATGGAAACATAAAGTTTTCATTCTTTTTCTAGTTGTTACATGTAATAAAGTAATGTTGTCTAAAATGAAGAACCGAAGTCCTCATACCCTCTCTGAGCCTTTTTTCTGTAATATCTGTAAAATAGGTATTATTCTTCTTCCTTTACATAATTGTGAGACTAATAGGCATTAGAAAGGTGGAAGTGCTTTGTGAACTAATATACAGCTAAATTAATAATAATTAATACAGATTCATCCAAATGACCTGTCAAAGGGGCATTCCAGAGATTACCAGTCTGCCATAATCTTAGGCACTGAACATCACTAGACTAACATTTTCTCTTCTTCCATTGGCAATCATCATCCTAAAAAAATAAAATCAGGTTAAACTGAGATCCAAAGACCTAACCAATGTTCAGATAGAAGTAAATCTCAAGCCATTTAAAGACAATTATGTTAAAGGCAGCTCTTTCATTCACCACCTTCTAGATGCTACTAAAATTTTGCCAGATGAGAAGGAACCAGATGTTAGAATGGCCAGTCTGTTTATTGCTTCTTTCCTTTTCCAGGGGAATGGCCCCCAGGCTACAGCTGTGGCTGATCCCTTGCCTGTCTTTCCCTCCATCCTAACAAAATGTCTAGGTGCCAAGCTCAGACCCCAGGTCCTTAAGCCTCCTTTGGGGAGGTCTCTGCTGCAGCGTGTGGGACAGTTAGGCAAGGTCCCAGACTTGAAGGCCTAACACCCCTGAAGAGGCAGAGCTGTCCAGCTTTTACCTATCAAAACAGTGTCCCAGGCCTGTTAAAAAAAAAAAAAAAAAAAAAAAAAAAAAGCTTGCAGCAGGCTGACTTTGATGTTTTGCTCCTTCTGTTATAGCCCCATATATTTTTTGAGCTCTCCAAAACAATTAAAATGAATGATAATGACCTACAATCATCTTTAAAATCTTTTAAAAAGAAAGAATTCCCAAAGCCTAAGTCCCTTAATTAAATCTCAACTCAGAACACAGAACACTATTTCTTTTCTGAACTCACTGAGCTCAACTGAAGTAGTCATGTTTTATTGATGTATTATTTCAGGAAGATGGACTAATTTAATTTCCTGCCACCAGGGCTTAAAAATCTTGCTCCGGGTCTGCCTCAAAGGAGAGGGTTTTCTTGGAAGGATGCCCTGATACTCTTTCTTTACTTTATTACCTTCCTCATTCTTCTTCTAGCTGGTCTAATTACAGTGATAAATCTTTAAAGGAACTCACAGAATTGCCAGGAAAGATGGAACCCCTGGTCAGCAGCTCATCACCTTCATCCTGAATACTTTTTCCGCTAGAACTTGTCGCTCTGATGTTAACAAGTACTGTTTTAACGGCTACCACATGTGAAAAATCGAGTTTTTCCCCAACTTCATCTCTTTTGTCCTCAGAGGAAATCAGGTGCACATTTCTCAGAGCAACCACATTCATCCAGATCGTTCTCCATCTCTTTCCTGTTGGGACTCACACACCCTCACCTTTACTAGTTCTCATGCGGTCTTACCTCAAAAAATCTAGCACAGAGGGCAGAAACTGATCACATTCTACCCGAGGCATTTTATTTGGCCCACCTGTTGTTAAAATAGAAAAAAAGAAAACCTTCAACCATTCCACTTGTGTATACATGTATGCCTTGGTGAAAAGGCTTTGCACAGGTGCACAGGATGCTTCCCGAAGCACTCTTAAAACAGTAGAAAAACTGGAGACAACCTGAACATCCATTTATAGGGGAATCAAAACATAAAATAAGGTATATTCCTATTATAGACAGTAGACTATTCAGTAGTTAAAAGGAATAAATTAGAGCAGGGGTCGGCAAACTACAGCCCACAGGCCAAACCCAGCCCACAGCCTGTTTGGCAAATAAAGTTTTAACGGAACACAGCTATGACCCTTTGTTTACATATTATCTATGGCTGTATTAGCTATAAAATAGCAGAGTTGAGTAGTAGTGGCAGAGACAGTGTGGCCCACAAAACCTAAAATAACTACTACCTGATTATTTTACAGAAAAAGTCTGCCAACACTGAATTAGAGTTATACAGGGTGGGGCAAAAGCAGGTTTACAGTTGTGAGTACGTGAAATACATAGTTTATTCTTGTAGTATTTCTTAATTATTGTATTGTTTCCCATAAGAACTGTAAACTTACTTTTGCCCTTCCCTGTATATATTTACATGGATAAATAAACAGGCTGAGTAAAAAAGCAAGTTGTAGAATAATAATTATGATTAAAAACATAAAACACTATGGTGCCCAGTCTACGTAAGTATTAAAAAGTGAGATAGAAGGATATGCAATGATTTATGCTCTTGGGCATGATGAACAGGGAAGTGTGGAGAATGGCACTGGAAATGAGAAGGATATTTCAATTGTATCAATAATATTTTACCATTCCTCTTCCAAACGAACAAAAAAAGGCAGGCGGGGGGGGGCAGTATGAGGCTTGAAGCAGATAAGAGAAAATGTTAATGGTTACCTCTGGCTGTTTCCCATTTATTCTT